TAATGGAGTATAAAAATCTTGAGAAAAAAAAAAAAAACCCTCGCCATTAGCATCCTTGGCTTGTATGTCCTTCCAAAAATTATTCTCATCACTTTTCCAATGAGTTTCTCTCTGTTACATGAAGCAGAACCACTGTTAAAGGGATGTTTTTAAGACATAAACCCACAAGGATGACAAAATAAGAGAACATAGAACATAATTTTGGAAGCCAAGAAGCACATGGATGAGACGTCATTGACTTAGCAGATATTAGAAAGCCAGCAATTGGGAAAGTTGAGAACCATCCCAGTTCATACCTGAAACTTTGAAAGGCTCAGGAATTGGTGTCACCAGGTAATTCTAAAAGTAGGAGTTGAGGGGGCACTAAAATAAGGAGGATTGATTGAAAATGGGTTAAGAAGCAGTAATTTCCCCATTCCAGGCTACTGGGTAACTTCCCCTTCTGTACTGCCAACAGAAGAGGAGGTTTATTCTCTGGAGAGGGTTAATCAAGGGTTTTTGGGTTGGAGGACAATAGGCACAGTCGAAATCAGAGAGTGCACCAAAAGCAGGGTGGAGGGACTAGGTTAATGTAAGCTGACTGATTGCTGAGCCTCTCCACTCACACCCCACCCACACTCCTCAGCCCTCTTCACCTCCAATCAGCTTTTTATCTTTCTACAATCACATTTATATAAACAATAAAGAACTACCAGATGTATCTGAGGAAAGCTTTTAATGTGACAGGTACCAAAACCAATAAACAGAAAAAAGCAACATGAGGAAGACAAACTATGTAAAGATAAGAAAGCTTAAACTATAATTAATATTTTCAAGTAATTTTAAAAAAGTATTGCATTCATGAAACAGGAGTAAGATGCTCTGAAAAAGAAATATTCAGAGAACTACCACCAATGATAGCATAAATGAAAAGAACAATAAAAGAGCTGGAAGATCAAGTTGAAAAAACTTCCAAGAAAGTAGAAAACAATAAGAGATGGAAAGCAGGAGAGAAAAGATAAAAAAATTAGAGGATGAGTTCAGGTGATTCAACATCCAAATCATAAGTTTCAGAGAAAGAAGACATAAAAATGGAGGTAAGGAAATAGTCAATGGAACTTCCCAAGAACCTTTTTTCAGGAATTGAAAAACATGGAGTTTCCAAATTGAAATCACCATTGAATCATCTAAGCTCTCTAACATTTACCTTCCACACACTTTTTCTCAAGAAGCTGCCGGAGCCTGTGTTACACTAAAATGAGGAAGTAAATCAAGAAAGGAAGACAAAGCATAGAGGACATGAGAAATGGAACACAGCAGAAGGACAAAAGGAAGCCTGGAATGATAGGGAAGATGGATTTCAGGAGATCAGAGCTACACTGGTGCACTAAGTATATTAGGCGTCCAGTCCAGACCTAGGCAGGTCAGGAAACACAGGAGATATTTCCTAATGAAATTGATAGAATACCTCATGTGAGTGACTGTATTGAATGGGGAAATCAACAACTGGATTTTGAGATTGAATAAAAAATCTTAGCAAATGAGAGGAAAAAAATGACAATTATAAACTCCAGATGGGGGAAACATTATGCATGAGAGAAAAACCAATCCTAGTTTACAACGTAGCTCGGTTGTTCTTTTTTTTCGTGGTTATAATAAAATTGACAATGAGTAGTGACCTTACCAAATTATAATATAGCTGTATTAGAAAGATGGTGATGGTGGATGGTTGAGGAGTATGGTATGTGTGGTGTGGGGAGAGGAGTAGAGATAAAGGCAAAAAATGCTTACCTTCCATAATGGGGGTCATTAGATTTTGCCTAAACCTGAAAAATCAAGAAGTAACATTATAAACATGTATGTAGAAAAATGTAATTACCAGAAGAATCAGCTAAAAGAATTGAAAGCAGTAATTCCTGAGGAAGGAGAAAGATTGGGCAGGCGGGCTGGGTACTACTGTTTTGTCTTAATCATTCTCATAAAACTCAGTGGCTCTTTAAACTATGTATGTGTATAATTTCTTTAAAAATAAAATCTGTTTTAAAAGACCATTACATTCTCATGGAATGGAATGAGAAAACTTTTTAAGATAACAGCTTTGAGATATAATTCACATACCATACAATTCACCCACTGTTTTTTTAGTATATTCACAGAGTAGTGGAACCATCATCACAATCAGTTTTAGAATATTTCATCACATCTAAAAGAAACCTTGTACTCAGTAGCAATCACCCCTCATTTATTCTGGACATTTCACATAAATGGAAAAAATAAGACATAAACATCTGGTCCTTTGTGTCTGGCTTCTTTCACTTAGCATAATATTTTCATGTTCTATCCATGTTGTAACATGAATCTGTACTTTATTTCTTTTTATTGCCAAATAATAGTCTGTTGCATGGGCATACCACATTTTATTTAGCCATTCCTTAGTTGATGGACATTTAACCACTGGACCACCAGGGAAGTCCCCTGGAAATAAACACCTTTATTAGGGGTGTAGTTTGGTACAGCTTTGCGGGAGTGCAGTTTGATATGTCAGAATGTGAAGTGTACTTGACTTTTGACCACATTTCCCATTTCTGGGTATTTGACCTAAGGAGAAAAATTATATGTTGGGGAAAAAAATGTGTCTTTATTTTACCACTTTATAATCTCATAATATCAAAAACTTAGAAATTAACTTAAATGTCTTTCAAAAGGAAACTGGTTAAATAAATTATGATGCAAACGTAAAATATTTAGGTAGTCATTAAAAATGATGCAGGTATAGTATTTTTTTTCCATGGGAATCTATCCATCATACTGAGTAGGGCAAAATGAGATTATTGAATACATCCATGAGAAGATTCCACTTGTGTAAAATATCTTTATGCCTAGAGAGATCTTTCGGAATGATGTCCAAAATGTTAACAGTGATTATATACTAGTGGTGGAATTTTAGGTGATTTTTAAACTTTATTCTTTGAACCTTTTGTATTTAATTTAGTTAAAAATCAACCTCTGTAATTTTGGGGAGAAAATTATAAAACTATTGTAAAAGACTATGCCTTTTAGAAGTCAAATTTTTGTACTCAATCAAGGCTTGATTTTAGTTAAATACCCTTCCCCTATCACTATTTTTTAAAACCTCAAAACCATCTACTAAAGGCATAAAGAAATTCATTATTGTGGTGATTATATTCACTTGGTGTGGAACACTGTCTTGGGCTCTTCCTTCAGAGAATTTTTTTATGTGTTTTAGTCTTTCTGGAGTTCTTTCTGTGTGGAGGTAGGCCAGGTATTAGGACTCTGGGGTCGTGCCAAAGCTAATCATTAGGATCAGGCTAAAAAGGTTCTCCATGTGTTCTGGTTATTAGGATAATTGTTTGGGGTTCACATATTATCTCTTCCACTCTTTTATCCTCCTTTGCAGGAGAAAAACATTAACAACAACTTTCATTTTCTTTGAGATTGTTATGAGTTAGAAGCTGTTCTAAATACATTTCGTATACTTTACTCATTTAATCCTCACAACAATCCTGTAAGGTTGATATTACAATAATGTTATTTTACAGATGAGGAAACTGAGGAATAGAGAGGTTCAGTAATCTAGCCAAGGTCACTCAGCTAGGGAATGCAGAGCTGGGGCTGGAGCCCAACTGAGTCTGGTTCCTAAGTACCTGTGATCTTAACTGCTACACTCCACTGCTTCCCTGACTTTCCTTCTAAATATGACTACAGACACTTCTTGCTGGTTTAATTTGTGTCCCCCCCAAACTGTCATTTCTACCAGAAATGCCAGGAAGACTGAGCTAGTGAGTACACCTGACTGGACTTTCCTGCAACAGATGCTCTATAGAGTCATTTCTTTGCTGTTTGTATGTCTATCCATTGATTCTCTTAGGATTTTATTTACCATTTCTTTGACATCATCTTCTCTGAAATATTTGCATTTCTTACTCCTTGAAGCTGGAGATTCATCTGGGAAAATTAAGTCACGTTAGGTGTTTCAACTTTGCATCAGGACCCATTAGAAGAGTGCTTAGTACTAAGGCAAGGAACATTCCCTGCTCTTTCCCAAGACCACATGGCATTCTCAGCCCCAGGCGGTGCAGGATGCCTGGTACCCTGCCTGATCTTTAAGTCTGACCACGTGGGGAAAACATAATTTTTATAAGGGTATAGTTTATTCAGATTATAAGAGCAATATATATTCATTGTAAAAATTTTTGGAAAATACCAAAAGTATAAAGAAAAAAATTAAAAGCACTTGTAATCCTGGGATAACCACTAGAAACTATAATTTCCAAGCATGTCTGTCTTCTCTTAAAACAATTTGTATTCATTCATGAAAACTGTATGTCTTCTAAATAAATGATTTACAGATGATGATTTTAGAAAATGCCCCTCCATGGAATTTAGTGGGTAGGATTATTGTTAAATTGAAAGATGTACTAAAGTTGGTGAAATTTAAATTTCTCAATTTTATACTCCAGTTTGATTTTTTTATTGAAGAAATGAAATAATTATGCATATTGAAAAACATTAGTATGGAATCAAACAAAAAGGTATAATGACCTCAGTGGTTTTATTTGCTCCTGCAAATGATTTTTCCATTTATTTTTGCTGAATATGAGCTGCATATACAGTTTGTCTTCAGCTGATACTTATGAATTGACCAAAAAGAAGATTCATGTGTACGAGAGTGAGATCTACCTGAAATACCATTTAAAATTTAATTTTGGATATTTGTAATATTGGTTGTTATTGTTTTACTGTTTCGTTGTGACTGAAATCTAGTAAAAATGATTTAGGATATTATCCTATTTTCCTGGGAAAAGAGTTATAATCAACAACAAAAGAAATGCATGTGATATGACATTACTAGTAATAATTATGGTAAGTTTGAGTCAAGTTGAAATAGCTTGTACTGAACATTATTTTCAAAAAGCCATTTCTTAAGAGAATGACTGTAAGGAGTGTTTGTAGAAGAAACTTCTGTAATCAAAAAGCCTATATCCTCTTGTGTTTTCCAGGCATCTGGCCGGCTGAAGAGGTTTTGGCTTACTACTGCCTCAAGCACAGTGATGTATTCAGGTACAAAGCTGCACCTAAAAATTTGTTTAGCGCACTATGGGTACTGTGTCTGCATCTTAAAGATCGCCATGATTACATTCTTCAAAGTAAACTGTTAAAAATATATATATAAGAAAGGAAGAAAGAAAAAAAGGAAGGAAAGGGGGGAAAAGGTCATGGTGAAAACATGTTGCTTCTGAAAAAGAAATCTGAATTGCCTTTGGGTACTAATATTGCACAGCAAGCTTTTTGCTATATGTCAAAGGCTTTTGATTTCCACTCAAGGCATTTTATTTCACTTAGATTTTGGGGAAACAAAAGTGAAGCTTCAATCAATCCTTACCAATTGTGATGGTCAAAAAAAACAATAAAGACATTCTTTAAACTTCTGCTAGGGAAATCACTACAGAACTTTTGATAAATAAATACCCCACAGCTATGATTTAAAGATGCCATCCCACCCTTGATTTTAAAGGTATTTTATATACCCAAGACAATATGTATTTGTAAAATATAAATTACCATTACAGATTCATGCTATGGAAATGAATGTTTTCAACTGTCAATGTGCATTATAGATTAAACCCATGGATGAGATTCAGGAAAAAGAAAAAACTCCTTTTTTAAAAAAATGCTGAAGATGTTTGGTAGACCCAGAAAATATGGGTTTTTTCATTTTATTCTCATTTTATAAAAGTCATCCAGTATATGCTTCCTGAATAGCCCATTATGATTCCAGACAAGCCGTTAGTGATCATTTTAACAATATATACTTATAAGATTGGGTGTGTGCTTTAACAATATGTATTTACAAGATGGGGTCAATAATATGTAGTTTTTGAAGCTCTATGGGTCCATATTTACCAACCAGTCTGTAATTGCTTTGAACAACTAAATACTCATTTTGTGTATTTCAGAATATGAATGTCCTTGCTTGGCTTCTTTTCCTCCTCTTCCTTCTCTTTTCACCTCTCCCTCCCTTGATTGTCTCTCTCTTTCTCTCTCTCTCTCTCTTTTTTTTTTTATCCTGTTGAGGAAATAAACTTCCCAAACTGGGAAGAAGAAACGATCTCTTAAAGAATCTAAGCATATAAAGTAAGAACAGGGCAGTATTGAATTGGGCTGCAGAGCTGCCCTAGAAGTCTGGCATCTGCTCATCTCGCTGTGCTTAAGCTTGCCTGGAGCTCCAATCAGCGAGCACTGGGCCAGGGCAAGAATGTCACACATTGAGGGCTGATATTTAGGCACAAAGAGGAAGGTAAGTGCAGAGTGCCAGACTGCACCCCCACCCCCCACCCCCAGACTGTCAGCTTTAACTCTGAGCTGCTTTACTTGTGAGCGGTGAAGTCAGAGCCCAGTCACTACTTGAGCCTGGGTTTGCTGGCTTAACCATATTATGTCCCTGCATTGTTTATTCACTGTGTTGTGTTGGGGTCAATTGTGATTTAAGTGTTAATTGCTAAATGCTCTTTGTGTAATTGTTCTTTATGGGGGCGGTTCAGCTTTCCAAAATGTTTCAGTTTGTTTTAGAATTTTTTTTTTAAATTCAAGATTGCATGTATTTGTGTGTGTGTGTGTGTGTGTGTTGTGTGTATGTGACCATAATATAGGTATATACACACTCATATATATTCTTCATTTACTTGTCTAACTAACTGTTTTTGAAGGAATGAATGTGGATTAACAGTGTTATCCTTTCCTAACAATTATCTTTCGCTACTCTAGCTAGTTTAGTTCTAAAAGACAGCGCCATTGACAAGGGAAAAAAAGGGAACCTTCTCCGATTTTTCAGCTCAGCGGTGGTAATGTTGCAGTGAACACTAATGAGGGAACCCCCACTGATTTGCCTGCTTTGTGACTTTTCTATTTCATAATTATTTTTAAAACGCAAAACGACATGCGGGAGCCTCGTCATGTCTCCACAGCTTCCCGGTAGCGCCGTTCTTACTGCAGATGGCAATTCCTTCTTGTAACATATATATCTCTCTGACCATTTTCATCTAATTTGTGTGGGTTCTACCATTTCTTTTCTCTCTTTCAGGGACCTTGCTGTGTGTGAGCTAGGGGGTGGCATGACATGCTTGGCTGGGCTCATGGTAGGTCTTTTCTCAATTCCAATCCCATTCAGAGGGAGGAACAAAAGGAAAAATGTTCCAGGGCCTCCAACTGCTGGGTCAGAGAACCGTCAACAGCATCAGCTGCGGTCAAGCTGCCGGGTCTTGAGAGACCTTCTAGATTGACTTACTTTCGGATCATATTGATTTTATGGTTGCCTCGATGAGCAGAAACATTTTACCTCAGTGTAGTCAATATTGCTTGTTGTGACATTCCAGGCCTCGCACAGTGTTTCTTCGCCATAGCGAAAGCATTTTTTTTTTTTTTTCAGATTATAGTCCCATTTGCTAAGATACAGGAATAGCCCGGCGAATCACAGTTGGAGCACCATGATATAGCTGCTAATGTTTTGCCTGCATTATTACACCAACAAACATGATCCAGAGCGCTCAGTAATTAGATTCTTTTGAATTAGATTGGCCATTCAGGAACGTCGTTCCCCATTCTCTGGGTTCTGAGTCATGTATTCAGGAGATATTATGTAGCAGCACAGTGCATTAGACAAGTTTTTATGTCTCTACAAATAAAAGCATATTGTTACACTGATTGGCATTTGACAAACCTGTCGCTCTTACACAATGTGTCAGGGTTACAGCCCAATGTGCGAGCATGTCAAAGCTCACAAAAAAATTACCCTCACAAAGCCATCTGCCTGCAATGCAAAGTTATATGAAGGGCATCAGGCAGTCAGACAGAAGCAAGCTGAAAGGCAGAGTGACAGCCTTGTATGATGGCTCTACTAGATAAACAGAAGCCCACAAATGAAAGCCTCTCAGAATACCATCATCCGCTGTCACAATGCAATTACCGAACAGAATGATAGCAAGATAGAGGCTCCCGCAAATGGAATGATAAAAGTATTGACTGATTTGATTGAATGATTAAAATAATGCAGACATAAAATGAAAAAAGATTGAAGATTGTTACAGAGAAATAGGTGAGGAAGCATGATACTGAAGGCTTGTCACTCCTGTCTTCACTTCCACACAGACAAGCATATTTGCTCATTGTTTGCTGTGCTCCCTTCTTTTTTCAGGTTGCTATTTCTGCAGATGTCAAAGAAGTTCTGTTAACTGATGGGAATGAAAAGGCCATCAGAAGTATCCTTATTCAGATAGAAAACGGGTTTGTTGTGCTCATTCCTTTTTCCCGGCTGAGTAACAATTGATATAAAGAAAGACAGCATGGGGTATTAAAAGAGAGTTCCCCACACACACATGATAAGTAATTAAGAAAAAGTAGAAATATATGGAATTCATTGGATACGACTAAGTGGTTTGTTTTTTTTTAATTTCAATGGATTTTTATAGTCACTTCTCATTAAAGGAGCTTATGATTTGTGGACCACTCAAAGCAATAAGAACGTTTGTTTCATAATAATTTTCAAGCGCTCTTGTCCTTTTATTTCCATTGAAATTTGCCGGGATAAAATAAATGATTTAACATTTATTATATTGGATATTGCTTGTAAAAATTAACTTCCAGCTTCATGTTCATTATTACCTTTCTTCCGTTTGATGTTGTATGTGCAGACCATGCAATATTATACCTACTCTAATTCCCGAGGAGTTCCCTATATCTCCTCACTGGAAACGGCTATCAGTTTTTCATTATTTCCTTTTATTTAGGATTATAAAAGCTATCTCTTTTGTTCTGCTATGCTATTACGGTTCAAACCCCATTATATTAGATTATGCTTTACTAATATGTACACAGAGTTCATGAAAATTGAACTGTACTTTAAGAAAGCAAGCATAATTTGTGGCTACTTTAGCAATCGAGCTGATTTGTTCAGGAGCAGTTAACAGCCGTTAGAAATTGAGAGGAAAAGTGGAGGATATATTTGCTTTGGATTTTTTGGTGTGCCTTCCATTTAAATTATGAAAGAGGCAATCTACTTATTTGGATTTTAGGCCAAAGCAGTTTTGATTTTTGTAAGAGGTAAGCATCCTACTAGAGCCTATTTTCGATTTTCTTCTTCTGCCTCTGCTATATAATTTTTTTAAAATAAAATTTGCAGTAGCTGTATCAGGCTGCTCAGACAGGAGAAAGGAGGTGCCAGAAGCACAGTAGCTAATATTGTTCAGCGGCACTTGTGTGCTCTACAGAGCCCCACCCAGCTAATTGCCTGACACACTTAAAAAAAAAAAAAAAAATCAGGAAGGAAAAACAGCCAATCACAATCTTGGCCTTTCACACAGGGGAAAGAGATCACAAAAGGTGCTTCCTTTTTTAAAATGCAGGATTTTAATCATGATCTTCAGACTGTCGCAAGTTTCTCAAAATATTCCTGAAGATGAGCGATATTGTTTCATTCACTCTGCTTTATTCTGAGTTCTTCCATGCACTGTATCATTTCACTCTGCTCCTCCACATGTCAGGGAACACAGAGAGCAACAGGAAGTCAGGTATGCTGGCTCAGCCCCAGCGATGTTTTTTTTGGGGAAAAAAAAAAAAGCAGGATTATTGGGAAAAAGAAGGTCATTTTAACCACGGAAACTTTCAGATTGGGCCCAGCAACCTGAGGTCTTTCTCAAGGCAGCAGGTGTCTTATTTAATAGCATCAGAAACCAATTAGAACTTTTATCAAACTATGGGAAGCATCTGTGGTCAGTATGTAAATTTAATGGTACTAAAATTATTGTTGAGCTAAACTACAGAGCTTCCAAAGAAGGGAAGCAATGCTAGTCATTAATTAATGCACCTTTGCTTTAAACAGCAAAGATGCCATGCCAGCTCTTGAAATCAGAGAGGAAATCTCAGATTCTGTACTCACTCCGCTGGCCTTTCAAAGAAATGATTGGTACAGCCCCCTCCCAAGAAAATGGATTTTTAACATTTGGTCCTCAGAAGCTCAGCCCTGAGAGTGCTTTATTGTGCTGGGTTTTACAATGGGTTTAATATAGCAGGGTGCCAAAGGGCAGGAGGGGAAGAACTTTACAATGTAGATAAAGTAGGTCCTTTCAGGATGCAGACCAAAACTGTTAGTGTGTTTTATTTCATCTCTTAGGACTTTCTTGACAGGGTTTAGTTTTTATCATGCAGTTGTTCTATGTTTGTGTGCCTTTTTCTGTTGTAACTAGATCTAATTTTTTTTAATTAAGAGAAAAAAGCATGCATAAAGCCTTAAAAATTGGCAACGTGTTTTTCCTGCTTTTGATACTAATGTTATTCTTGATTTGCTACCAGAGCTTATAACTGGCATTCGTTGTAAGCTGTTTTACCAAGTGAGGTTAATATGAATGAAATATTTTTTTTTCTATTTGTGTGCCCACTTTCTGTAAAATAACAGATTCACTGAATCACATACTGTTGATGCATATAGATTGAAACAAATTCATTTAAAAATTACTGTTTACATCTTTCCTTTAAAATTTTAGGAAGCCTAAATTATATAGCAGTTGTAGGATATTATCCAAAAATTACTTTCTAAAAAGTAAAAGTGGATGTCAACAAAAAAGAGGGAGAAACATTGCCAGAAGCCAGAAAATCTCTAAGCAAAGCTGCTAATTATTCTTAATGGGCAAGATGAGCACATTAAGAAACAAATGAATACATCAGTGAAATGTAATTGAAAATCGACCTGGCAATCACACATCACATCTGAGTATTGGCCTGTATATTATTCTCATCATTTAAATTATTTTTGTTGTTCTAGGCATCTGAATTGAGTGAATCCAACTGAGTCTTACTTCCTAGTCGCTTAAGCTTCTAAGATTCTGATTTTTACCTTTAAAAATAGCATTTTCTGATATTTCCTGTTTATCTTCTGTTATTTCTATTTTTAAAGTATATGAGGCAATGAATGGAGGCATTCTGAATCTTTATATCATAGAAGCGTATCAACCAGTTGTAAGGTTATTTATTGTCTCCATAAAATGTATCAGGCGGATTTGGCTATGTCTTCTAGAGCTCTCTACCTTGAACCTAGAATGCTAGATGTGGGTTTGAGATTTATTAAACAGAGATATCTGAAAAGAGAGTAAGACTCGAGGTATAAGGGAATGTTGTTAAATATTTTCTCAGACTCGTGGGTATGTGTCCCCGAGGTTTTCCTTGGCCTTTAAACTGCACTGCTGGGTCTAACCCAGAGCCCCCTAGCTGAGAGCCCTTCAGATGCTGTTTTATCTGTACCCAAAGGGAACAAAGGATAAATCAGAAATGGGATCATTTGGTTCATCCAGTTCTCGAATTTATCCTAAAATAGTGTGAACTGTGTTCCCTCTTCTTTGGCACAGCCTTTTTAGTGTAATGAAGAAAGAAATCTCCAAGTGCCCCCAGATAATAATTACTCAATAAAGTCTGGAGCTGGTGTTGACAGTGACATAAGAATAGGGGAAAGAAATGGTATACTGAGTTATTACTGATGCCAAGCCTCTTCCAAATCATAATGAATAAAAGTACAACACCTAAGGTGAGCAGCCCTTTCTGGAACACTCACTAATTCACCTAACACAAGTACCCTGCCCTGACCCGTCCTTAGTAAACACCAAGCAGGGTATCTGCAGAATATGGTGATGCTTGGTGACCCAGCCTCATGACTCTGACCCAAGCATCTTATCCCCACAATATGCACCATCTGGGTCATGATCTTGAGCTTAGGATTCTCCAAAAATTGGTAAATCTCCTGTGAATTTTAAAGAAGATACCCCTGGCTTAACATTATTTTATTTAACAACATCCCTGACTTGAATAATTAATAAATGAAGCTTCATGTGACTGTGTAGCCTGTGGATGGTTGAGACCTTGGGAATGCCAGGCCGTCATCCTGGGTCCAGGCCCCTTCCTCCAATATCAGTGTCAGCTGTTCTACTATTTACTAGATAGATCCAAAATGGACTCTGTGTGCCTCATATTGGGTAGGAGTTCAACAAATAGCTTTGGAAATTAAATTTAAGTTAGCTAATAAATTAAGCTAATTAATTAATTAAAAGGAATTAAACCACTATTAACTGCATGCCATTTCAAGTGCGAAAGATATAGCAGCGAACAAGACAGACCAAGTTCCTGTTCTTGGAGGACACAGACTATACCTATACAGAGCACATTTATACACGTGAAAAACACTGAAAATCTACAGGGCAGAAGTTCTTTGATTCCTTCCCGTCATTTAAATTCTACAAGAAAAGTGTTCACATAATAGTTTTGAGCAACAGGGTAAAGAAAGAAAGCTTAACTGCCAAACCCCACTTTAGTTACCATCACCAGCCTCTCATCCCTCCAAAGCTTTTGCCTGAATTATTGAAAAAGATAATGAATTGACGTGATTTAGGCACCTACTATGTGTCAGGCGCCTACTGTGTGGTACTCCATAAGTCTATAAAATAGCTACATTTTTCCTATTCTTGAGGTGCAGCTCAGAGAAGTTAATTTACGCAAATTCACACAGTCACTAAGTATCAGAACCAGTGCTAGAAGTCAGGTTCATGTGACTTCATAGCTTCCCTGCCACCCCCATTAAACCATCTCTTCACCAAAAACTAGAATGATTTGGTGAGTATCATCTTGCACTGGAGGAAAAGGCTTCTCATCCATAAATGTACAGTTGACATTGCTAACAGTTCAAAACGCCTCTACATCGTACTCGCAATTCATATGCGTAATAAGCACATTTAAGAATATTTCCCAGCATTTAAATTAACAAATATTGCCACATCAGTGAGGTGCAATGAAACTAAAGGTAGCATAAACCAAGAAAGTAATGCTTTGTGAATCACAATGTTATTATTTTAAAAATACTTTCTTGCTTAAAGAACAATGCCAACTCTCAAAAATGTATTGAATATATGCAGCTACTGATAAATATAATAATCACTAATTGCAGGAGGAGGCTAATATTTTAAACAAGATTTATATATAATTAGCTTAATTATATTTATGTATATAACATATATAATTTGTTCAAATAACTATTATTATACAAACATATATATATATATATATATATATAGAGTAAGGATAAAAATCAACTGAAACAAAATTAAGATGGACCCCCGCTCTTGAACCATGCTTTGTTTGAAGAGAAAATCTAGTTATAGAATCCTGATTTCTTTTAGCCACAAGCGTATATCCTAGAGCTCAGAAGTCCAGGTGCCCAGACTAGGAGACTAAAGGTGATTGCTCTGTATCTGTTTAATCAGAAATCACATTAAGGCTTTCTTTGCACCCAGCATCTCCCACTGGAGTCTTCCAGAAGGTGGGTGCCTTCAGAGAATAGGATTTGGTACATGCTGTTGAACACTATCCTGGACAGACTGGCTCGATTTGATTGAATTCCCTTTATTACCCCGAAGTGACACAGAAGAATGAGAAAATCTATTATTGGACACAGCGCCAGCCAGAGGAACCACCTCAGAATCTGACCTAAAGTAAAGGGCGGGGAGCAGAATATCAAAATATATCTCTTAAGGCAATATTTTAATACACTGTGGCCATTTTTTCTCTAGGTACTTGTTTTCATATAAAAAACACTTCCTAAACCACAAACTATATTTCCTTCCCAGTTCTAAAAATAAAGCAGCCTAAGTACTGCTGTGAATTTTTTCATTAAAATAAAATTGCTTCTAGAATATAAATACATATTCTTGCTTCAGCCTGATCACCTGGACTCACAGTTTTATAAATTGTATAAAAGTATATAGTGTTAAGATGTTTACTAAAAATTATTAATAGGTTTTCTGAGTTATATAATTTAACTTCCCTGTGACTATTTTATAAAACGTATTACCTCCACTAACAAAATAATATGTTTGGCTTGACAAATTAGTCATGTACTCATACGACGCTACAGGTGTACCTAGCACATTATGGCATGTGGTTTGGATGTCATGGAAACGCCGAGAAGGGTGTGGCCATAGTGTGGGGGAACTTAATCAAAACCAGTTGTCAGCTGACTCTTTACTAATTTTGTTCTCAGAATAAAGACGTCAGCTGTCCTTTTTCTACAAGACATTTCATTTAGAAGACTTTCCTGAAATACTTTCTTCCTGAAATAGACAAAACTGTAGGCCGATGTGTCATTTTAGTTAATCAAAACAAGTAGGCAAATTAGTCTCTTTTATTTTTTTAATGAATGTAATTTAACGGTATTTAATTTGCATACAGGAAAGTTCACCCAGAAAAAAAAAAAAGTCTGCATTATAGCACTTTTGTAAACCTCAACAAAGCCCTTCATTAGGAGACCTAATTGATTTTTCCTACCCACTCCTGGGGGAAGAAAGCTATCACAGTACCTGCTTATTCACTCAGAGAAGAAATGGGTGTGCCGGGTGTTTCAAGCAGAGATTTAGGTTAAAATGTCCTGTGGCTCTGTTCTTACAGGGAGATCTTGGCCAGTGCTTGCTTTGAGCATTCAGGAAATCTGTTTTTCTGAGCAATAGGGGAACATCGCTTGTCTGCTTGGTGTCCTCCCCATGGGCCCAATTTAGTTCAGCTTGCAACCTTCACTGGAATTATTTTATTTCTTGTTTACTTAAACCTCGCTTTATTCCAAAAGAGGGATTTTAAGGCTTCTTACAGTGACACACAGAATATACCATATAAAATAAAAGAGAAAGCGAGGGCAGTTGGACAGTAGAAAGCCAGGAAAACATCACGAAGGCAGGAATAGGACCGGTAGAGGAAAGATGCGCCATAGAGCACTTGTAGTTGTTCAGCTGAGATCATCCATTTGGCTCTGAGTTGCACAAGGACCAGAGCAAAAAGAGAAACAGGAGCAGTTCTAAGATTTATAGTGTCCAGAAGCTGAAGCAAAACTAGTTGATCTGAAGTCCAGTTTTTCCCAGTGTTGAAACCTGACATGATTTGTCCCATGGGTCCTCATGAAGATGGCGCTCTGTGCTCTAATGGACCAGCTCCTCAAAACATGGCTTCAATAAATATGGCTCTTTTTGTACAAGTCCTTACATGTCAGCCGATGGCCAAAGGCCAGACTGTAAGTCTGTAAAGACAATTCTTCAAGGGGCCTTTCACTTCAGAAGAATTTTCTTCTTCAGTAATTAGTTTTCCCTCAGAGATTCTCCAGCCTTTCTCCATCTTTCCCTTCTCACTTCCCCCCAAGTCTTTCCCTGCAGCTCATCCTCACTCTCCCCACTGGCATTTCGGAGATTGAAAATACTTCAACTTGGAGAGTCTCAGAAGACTGCCATTGCCCTCCCCGCTGACGGAAAGAGGCTAACCTTGGGGCTTCTAGCTCTTTTAAGCAAGTGGGGCCTGGCACCTGTGGCACAGTCATCTTCCCTGACCAGTGCTTATCACCCTGGGCCTTGACAATGTGCTCCCTGAAATGTATATTTCACAGGTGATAAAACTACAGTCCAGGGAATTAAAAGAGCTTGCCTGTGACAAGTAATTCAACATTTGGTGGCAGAGCCAGGGCTACACCCTTCTCCTCCTGCCTCACACGCTACAGCTCTTCTCACCATGCTGGTCCCGCATACGATAAGAATATCGTAGTGTTTGTGGGCCTCTTTCTGGCGGGAGTCAGTTGACAATCACTGCAGAAGCTTTCTTAACTGTGGCCTATAGACGTGAGAGACATCATCACAAGGAATCAGACGGCTGGTGTGTTTAAGACTGGGAACGTATCAAGCTGGTAAGATACCTTTTTGCATTAAAACACTCTGGTTGAAACTGCTTTTCTCAGTACTATGGATGATTATTAAAACTAACAATAGCTAATATTTATTAAACATTTACTGTGGGTCAGGCACTGTTTTAAGCACTTTAAAAGTATCTTATTTAATGCTTACAAGAACCTGTAATGAAGCAGGCAGGCGTTTTCATTACCTACAATTAATAGATGAGAAAAACTGAAGATAACTATGTTAAACACTGGGTTGGGAATGACTTAAGGACTGAGAGGGTGCAGTATGAGGTTGGGAGAAGCCCAGCCTGGGACCTTCTTGTGAATGGCTCTATTTCACTGGTTCTCAACCTGGTGGAGGGGGGCAATTTTGCCCCAGGAGACTCTTCTATTGTTATAAGTGGGGCAAGGTGGTTGCTACTGGCATCTAGTGGATAGAGGCCAGGGATGCCGCTAGGCCTGTGCAAGACATCCCCACACCCCTCCCCCCAGCGAAGAACTCTCTGGCTCAAAATGTCAATGGAACCAAGATTGAGAAACCCTGTTCTGTTTCATGGTTTTAAAATAGTCTAGGTATTCATTCCCTTTTAGATTCTGTTCCTTCTTATCCAAAGTAGGAGAATTGCTTACCCTCAACCAAAACAATGGTGTTTCCTGTGATGCTACATTTTAATTTTGCCCCGTTGGTATGGACCTAGAGGAATAAGTAATCATTTAGTAGTTTTCACAAGAAATATCTGTATCTGTGTATTTTTCCTTTATGTGTTTAACCACAGACATTATTGGAAGAACAATCTAAGTTTTAATTAATTCTTTAATTACTGTTAATCTGTCATCCTTTGACATTTTGAGTTTTCTCTATGTTTGAGGATGCTTTCCCACCCCAAACTGCTCATCTTGCAGGGGAACAAAGGTGGATGAATAGCAACAATGCTTAAAAACTAAAGTGGAAAACATACTGGGATGAGGATATGGAGTAGTGATAACTTCTTTTTTCTTATATTAACTGGGGAATATAATGTGTCCATGTACGAATTTTTGAATCCTGCATTAGAATGTTCACAGTAGGCTGATGGCACAGGGGGCAGTATGCTCTGTGTTTCTCAAATAAACGAATAAACCAGTTCTGTTTCGCAGAAAACCTCCAGTAGGTCCAGAGAAAGAGCAATCTCCTACCTGGGTATTCTTCATTCTTAGGACAGCTTTTATTCCACAGTGCAGACTGCCATACCCTTCTGTGGAAGACTTCATTTTTGGATGTGATTTTCAACCTGGTCTTTTAGTTATCAATCAAAAACACATTTTCTATGTTGTCCTCATTTACATTTATTTAATGCTTAAGGTCATTTGTGACCATTTGAGTGTATTTCAGCATATGGAATCAGGGAATAATAGATTTCAGCATCATGCTGTGAAGAGAGATTGTGTTTTTACAAGACATAATGTTGTTTACTGGGTGTTAATAATCACTAATTAATAAACATCTAGAATTCTAAAATGTTGCATTTTGAGGAATAAACATGTCAGGTGTTTAACTTATGGAGTGCAGTAGTATTTTCTATCATCCCTTCATAAAATAGTGAAGTTACATAAAGAAGCAAAATGTCATTGTTCAACACATGGTAGATCCAAAATGCCTTTGTTTCTATTTATTGTTCTCAAAAATGCTATTTCTAATATATTGTTCTGAGATGTACCTGGACGTATAGTCTGTATGTCAGTAGTCGTACAGAAACTTCCAAGATGAGGGGTTTTTTTTCCATCTTTATTTCATATTAATTGTGGTCAGTTTCTTTTTTAACCACTGTAAGCATTTCGTCCAAAGTCTACGAAAGCACGTTGCCAGGAAACAGGTGGATGAGTCAGTCCTTGAAATGCCTTGATCTCATATTAAGGAGCTACTTGACCACTTAACCTTCAAGAAGCTAAGAGGAAACTGCCAACCAATGATGTAATAATCAGCGTTCCCCTTCTATCCACCGCTTTCCCACCCATAACCAGTACAATATGATGAAAGCATTAGCTCCATGTGAGAAGAAATAAAAGGAAACCGTTCACAAAAGAGCTGAGATATAGTTCAGTATTCTTTTTTAGTGCCTCAGTGCATATGCAGAATTTCTCCTCCAAATTGGAGGTGTGGAATAACAGTAGCGACAGATAACTAAGAGGTATTTACCATAGCTACAAAGCCCACACGTGAGCCAAATATTTCTGCTATTAAAAAGCACTTCAAAGCTTGACATGAAGTTTGTAACAGCTGAATGTCTTCTGTGACTTCATTTGCAAAGATGTAAAGGCAGAAAGGAAAATCGTGGTATGAGAACTGTGAACCTCGGAAATGGTGTTTTTTTTTAAAAAAAAAAAGAGAGAGAGAAGGCCCCCAGAAATTTGACTGGCGTCCCAAGCTCCTGTTCCCCCTGTTCTGCCAGTGTTCTCAGGAAGCAGCATTCATCCTGCTACCAGCCTCTTCCTTCAGGGCAGACCCAGTTGGTGAATGGCCTGAAACTTATTTTGAGGACCCTCTTTAGGAGCATGAGTTCGATTATACCTTTTACTTTGACAGATTTTACAGAAGCTTACAACCACGTGAACCCATCACTGGGGCTGCTTGTGGGCCCGGGAAGGGGCCTGTGAGAGGGAGGGGGCCCCAATGATTAGGCTTCATTAGCTTGACAGTAAATCCATTCCTGCTCTCATAACCACCAGCCGCCTTGCCTGGAATGATGCTCTTCCCTTCCAAACCCGCTTATTCCCTCTGTTCCATTTTAATCTAAGTGTGATTGTTGCTAGATATGAAAGACGTGTTTGCAAACGCCTGGAAGCTTTAGCCCTGGCTAAGAAAGATCTAGGATGCACATATATGAAGGATGTAGCCGTTACCTCTCACAGATCTAAGTACAGTCATTTGATGGTTCATTCGTTGGTCCATCCATGCAGCCACCTGTCAACTTAACTAATATACCCAAGGTATTCTGCCTTCGAGAACATAAATACAGAGTGATAGCAAAAACTCTTGAACAAAGAAAATCATGCTACTAAATATAGCTAGAGTTTGGTGGAAGAACAAGGATATTTACAGCTTCTCAATTGTTAGGTTTATCTGAAGCTGTCTTCAAAACTGTGACTGTCTAATAAAGAACCATTCAGAGCTTTTGATGTCTGCATATTTCTAGGTATTCCAGAATTAGTGAATGGCGTCATTCTCTGGTTAATAGTAGTTAACAGTTACAATATTTTTAAAAATCGATTAAATATACCCTGCTATGATATTAAAAGTAAGTTTCTACTTAAGAAAAGAGTATCTTTGTGTGAAAATTCTAGTGAATTTAGGCCTGTGACTTTTTTTATTATTCTTTGATAAACCATTAATTTTAATAAACTGTGGAACTCATAATAACTTTTAAGACTCTTTTATAACCCAAATTTTACCTTTATGTGGGCCCCCAGGATTGGCTATTGGCTCCATTGCCCTACTGCTTTTTAAGATTTATGTCTTCTTGGAGGCTCATTTTCCTTTAAACATTAAATTGGGGATGTGAAAAATGATTTAAGGGCTTCCCTGGTGGCGCAGTGGTTGAGAGTCCGCTTGCCGATGCAAGGGACACAGGTTCGTGCCCCAGTCTGGGAAGATCCCACATGCTGCGGAGCAGCTGGGCCCGTGAGCCATGGCCGCTGAGCCTGCGCGTCCGGAGCCTGTGCTCTGCAACGGGAGAGGCCACAACAGTGAGAGGCCCGCGTACCGCAAAAAAAAAAAAAAAAAAGATTTAAGAATGTAAATCCCAACCAAGGGGGATAAAATTCCTGACTTATTCAGGCCTTCTGCAGTCTGCCCTCACTTTCCTCACTCTCTTCATTCAGTGTAGCTTCTACTGTTCCCCACATACACCCTCTCCTTGGGTCACCCAAGCCTCTTCACTCTTCTGCAACACATTTGGTCCTCCCCATCTCTGGTCTTTGCCAGTCTTGTTTCCCTCTTCCTTATCCATCTAAATCCTTTCTTCTAAGGCGGCTTAATTACCATTTCCTCCCGCCTTCTCAGGAGGCAGCTTGCCCTAATGTTTTCCTTCTTTTAACTTCTGTTGGCCCTAGAGTAGTCCCCCAGAAAGCATGGCATGTTCTCTCATTATTCAAAGGGTGTTGCCTATTTTCATGTTCATTGGTTCATTCATTTCTTGGTAAATATTTCAATCACCTTCTGTCTGCCAAGTACTGTTTTGGGTTGTTAGAGATGTAGTGATGAACAAGACTGAGAAAGTCCATGCCTTCTTAGAGTCCACATTCTAGCAAGGGAGACATAATAGCAAGGACATAAAGGCAAGGACATAAAGGTAAGAACATAAAGGCAAGGACTCTACTTAGTATGTTTTTATATTCCCTGAAGCAATTAGTACACTTTATCCCTGTTATAGGAAAGGTTTTAAGATTTGTATTTGGAGCACATTTTGAAAGACATGATAAATGACATGATAAATGAAAGATAGGATAAGATATGAATCCACAGGGCTTATGGAACCAAACAGTTTTTAATAGAAGAAAGTCAAGCTCTAGAGATTCAGACATCAGTTTATATATCAGATAGCTGACTTTCATTTCAGGACAGGCTTCTTCTCAGGCATACATATACAGTGTCTGTAGACACTGACATGGTGAGTAGGCATTTATCTGTCCTTTGTCAGGTTGAAGAGGAAGGTTAGAAGAAGGTAACTGAGATAAGAAAGCTGAGGGCTCTCTAGAAATTTTCTGATAAAATATACCTGTTAGTGAGTTTTGCTAGAGTCATGGTAACAGAATCTCAAGAACTGCTGAGGATTCTAAAGATACCACAATCCTGTTTCCTTCTGTTGCTATCTTGGATATGGGAAAATGAAATACCTAAGTGTACTTTCTATTACTAACGATTTTATTTGCTTGACACATTTATAGAAGGGCTCATATCCCTACTACTTAGTGTTTCTTCACTGAAGAAACCAGCTCCCACAGGGTGAATGTTACCTAGTTTTAGATATTGT